TTGAGCCGGGTAGGGCCACAAGGGCGGCAAAGCTCTCCCTCAAAAGTTTTAACACCCAGGGCTCGAACACGAGACCACTAGTTAAGCTGGAAGAGACCAAACCATCTCATCCAAGTGCTCTTGGGTTATAATAATAATATCTTTTTGCCAGCAAATAAAGTTAACAAAATAAAATAAATTAAAATTGTGAATTCTAAAGTTTCACTCCACGAGTTATAATTACATGTCAAACGAGTCAAGAATTTTGTTTGGCATTTTCCTGATAATAATATGGACTTTTCCAATATTAATAAAATTCACTCTAATTGACATCGTGTTTTATATGTCACAAATAAAATCACTGGTAGATTTTATGCTATTAGCAATCATATTAATCGAAGCAAATCATAATAAGTTGAGCATGTATAATGAGATTCCACTAAAAATCAATTACTGATAGGAGAAATAACTCACTAAACTTATAAATTAAACGAATTCTTCTATATGGGACAACTCACCAAAAAATTTCATTAAGCAATCATCATATTAAATTGCAACTAGCAAACTAAATTATGTATGATAAGGGCAAGACAACTATGCAAAAACTGAAGGCATATTTGCTTCAAAATCCTGATCTTTTACTAAATTGTAAATAAATCTCGATTTTTTTGTAAGTTTGTCATTAAATTCCAACTTTTTTATTATGTTGCATGATAAGCTCTGATTGATTTTCCGACATTCTCTCTGATGATGTGTCCGGCGAATTGATGATATTCTTCGGTAATAAACCGACGTGGTTTTTATGTCTTAAAAACATACATATATTCATTTTCAATTTATAATTTCTTCATTTCTTCCATATTCCACAATTCCCAATTTTTATTCCATCTGCAACTCTAATTGAGATTTGTGGAATGTTCGTCGTTTTCATTGCTTCTTCTGTTGATATTGGTTCTCATTTTTTCTTGCTCTTCATTGGGGATGAAAAATCTCGTATTAGGGTTGCATTGAGAAAAATTTGGGAACTAGGGAATGTGTATAAAAAGGAAAAAAATTATGAAGTGAAAATGAATATGTATATATTTTAATACATAAAAAGCCACATCGTTTGTTGTTGGGACATATCATCACTTTGCCGGACACATCAATAAAGAAGAAGTCAAAAAACCACTCGGAGCTTAACATGCAACACAATTAAAAGATTGGAAATCTAATGGCAAACTTAAAAAAAGTTGAGATTTATTTGCAATTTAGTAAAAGATTAGGGTTTTTGAAGCATTTATGCCAAAATTGAAACTACAAAAAGATGGAGAAGATATACCATAATTAATTTTTTTTTAAAATCTTTGTTATTAAAATTGAGACAAGAAAAAAGGGCGACTTGTAAATAAAATGCTAAAAATATACAAGCGGAGTTAAAATGATATTTCGTTTATTGGAGAATGCGACCATTTCGTAACGGGATGATTCTGTTGTTTTTTGTAGCAATAAATATACATGTAACCTAGTAATGTGTAGATAATCTACGTTTTAAAAATACAACGAAATCATCCCGTAACAGAATGATATCATTCTCCTCGTTTATTATCCTATCACAATAAATAATTTTTGAACTTTTCCTCTCTCTCTAACTAAAAGTGCGAAAAATAATTATGTGGTTGATAATAGCAAACTACTAAGAATTAGTGAATTACAGTTGCAGCCATGGACCCATGACTCCAATTCGAAAGCTGCACCTCTTTTGTGGTGTGTATTTAATGCCCGCAATTATTTAATACCACCACCGTATTATTTAATTTACAAATTAATTTACAATACAGTAATAATAATAAATTAATATTAATATATATATATATATAT